ATGCCAGTGCTCATCCAAGGCCCTAAGCAACCCGGCAACGATATTGATGTGTACCTAAGGCCATTAGTTGAAGAACTCTTACAACTTTGGAATGGAACAGGTGTACATGCGTGGGATGAGCACAAACAGGAAGAATTTGACCTAAAGGCGTTGCTACTCGTGACCACCAATGATTGGCCTGCTCTCAGTAACCTTTCAGGACAGACAAACAAGGGATACCGCGCATGCACGCACTGTTTGAATGATACCGACAGTATATATTTGGACAATTGTAGGAAGAATGTGTACCTGGGACATCGTCGATTTCTTTCGACAGGCATCCCGTAAGAAAGAAAGGCAATCATTTCAAATGTGAGGCGGATCACCGGACGAAGCCTCGCCACCGTACTGGAGCTGATGTACATGATATGGTCAAGGATTTGAAGGTAGTCTTTGGAAAGGGTCCTGATGGACAACCTGTTCCGAATGACGCTGACGGACGCGCACCCATGTGGAAGAAGAAATCTATATTTTGGGTCCTGCCCTATTGGAAAGACCTAGAGGTCCGCTCCGCAATCGACGTGATGCACGTGATGCGGGAAGAACGCCGCCACCACTTCGCCCACCACGATCTGCCATCACTACCGCCGCCATCCACCATGGCCACCCATCGGGCTCATCAATCCAAGGAAAAGGTAAAGACTACCGTGAATCCTTAACCCTAACCGATCTAGAGGACTCAACATTTCACACGTTGAGTTGATGTTTTCGCAACATACAACACAAGGGCAAAATTAGCCACTGACTACATAATTACAGAACTATATAATGTTGATAGAAATAGCAACCCCATAATCATAACCTATTATTTTTATTTTCTCCAAATTGGCACTAAAATGTGCCAATGAGAAGATGGAGAGAAAAAGGACATGGGGTTGCATTTGAAATATTTAAGTTCAATATATAACTAAAATATAAAGCATAAGGTAGTTGTGTCTATGTGATGTTGATTACTTGGCTAAACTAGAAGAGATAACCTGCACGTTGTCACGGATTGGTAGGTTGAAAACATGGATAATTAGTTATGATGTGATGGCAAATGATTTGGTATCCATGCATGATTTGTTGATGTGAAAATGGTTGGTTGTATGAAAAAGTAGTTAATAGGTGGGTAGATTAATAACGTGACAGACATGCATGGTTTGTTGACGTGGAAGGGCTGCATGCTTAGAAAAAATAGTTAGTGGGTTGAAACTAGAAGATAATGTTAGTTGCAATAATAAATACATATAAAACATAAATAATACTCCGTCCGTCTCATAATGTAAGACGCTTTTACAAGCTATGTTAGCTTGTAAAAGCGTATTATATTATAGAACGAAGGGAGTATTTACAAAAACTAAAAGACCAGATACATTGATCATCACTAAATTCTATCTCGATATTTAAACTCCTGCTTCGACATGTATACCAGAGCACAAATGATGGACCGCCAAGAAGCATAAAAAAATAAGCTCCCAGTTAACTAGTAACTGCACACTAGCTCGAGCTCGATTCATGTAATGCAAGCTGGGCTTGTGTTGCGTTGTGGGACAGAGATCCAATGACATGCCCATGGCATGTCAGGCAGTAACATGGCCGTTGGATAAAAAATGTAGGGTCTCACTTTCACATACTGTAGCAGAGAAACATTATATAGGTGTCTACTGTTCAATGTCCTGTAGAGACGGTCCTGTAACACTGACACTTTTCATCATTGTTATAGATGGCTGAAAGTCTCAAACGGATGGCTGAAAGAGGGGGGCATGTTACAGTACAGTTCACCAGTGAAATGCCCATGGATCTCAGTTACACAGGCGGGAGGAAACTAGTCAGTGAGTGAGCACGCAATCTGTTTCTCTCTTTTCTCATGCTACAAGGAGTGGACGAATCCATTTTATAGGCTGGCGTCTCTCCACCATCACTAATAGCTATATGAGAGTGAACTATATGCACCAGAATTTTAGTAACGATAGGATACCAAGAATCCTCAAATCCAACACATAATACCAAGAATCTTAAAATCGTCTCTGCCACATATGTTCTGAGTTTCTACAACAAGAACTGTGCGCATGCATGCACCATTGGAACCTACTACAGAAATCTTTCAGTTGCTCTGAGATCAAGTAGCCAGCAGTGTCTTCTATCACACAAAAGAAAAAGGTTGAGAAAAGAGCATGCGTGTGCGAGAAGATTGCTTCAGGGCTCACAATTGGCGTCAAGGTTTAATCACCTTCAAAGCTCTTGACTTGACTCGTGAGCACCTCTACTAACCATCAGGACAATGACTGCAGGTTCACTGACAAAAAATGAGTAGTCCCTACTTCAAGAGTTACTATTTTTACTCCAGACCCTGGTTTGAGAGTAACTTCTCGTCCACCTGCCACGTGTCACTTCAACTATAATAAAAAAAAGACCTGATCTAAATTTTCATTTATAGTTGAAGTACCAAGATTTTGTGTTTTTTTATACGAAGAACATGAGCCGCGACCGTTTGCAACAAAATTCTTCCGTTAATACGGTAAGCCAGTCAATAGAGGAGAAGAGCCAAAGGCTGACCCAGAAAGTGAAAGCTTCTGATTACCCAGTGGAATTGTTGCATATAAGGGACCCGTCTCTCCTCTTAACGTTTCAGTGTGCCCACCCAATACACCTGAGGTTTCCTTCCAGCAATGGCAGCTCAGACTGGAGCAGCAGTCCTCCTCGCCAGCCTCCTCCTTGCTCTTGCAGCCATCGCCAGCAGCAACACTGAAGGTACATGCATACATGCTAATTACTTTGCGTCTCCCAAGTGACTTCCTTGTTGCTCAAAGGTTTTGTGCTGCTGATTTACACACAATTTTTGTTGGTATCCGGAGGCGACATACTTTACGTGCAAAGGCAGGCGTGGAATGACCCGAACGGTGTGCTGCAGAGCTGGGATCCGACCCTTGCCAATCCCTGCTATTGGTTTCATGGCAGCTGCAACAACGAGAGCTCCGTCGCCCGAGTGTATATATGCCACCCATGTTTTTCTTCACTCCTCCTTGTTCTGAACTGAAGGCCGAAACTGAATTGATCATGGTTCTTATCGACATTCAGAACCTTGTGACTTGGACAAAAGTTCCACTACCTGAGTTCTTCCTAACTGTGCGGGGATTTGGGGAATGCAGGCATCTCAGGCCCCCTCATTCCTGAACTGGGCCAACTGAAGAGCCTTCGATACCTGTAAGTTCTACTGCAACTTGCTGCGGAGTGCAGACCTGTCAAATTACACTCAAAGTTTCCCTACAGTACAGAATGACATTCTCATCTTCACAGGGAGCTGCATGAGAACAAAATGAGTGGACCAATACCGGCGACGCTGGGAAACCTGAGGAGACTGATCAGCCTTGATCTTTACAGCAACCATCTCACAGGCACGATACCGGCCTCGCTCGGGAACATAGGGTCGCTGCGTTTCCTGTATGAGTCCTGCTGCAGCAAGCTCCTTTTCTGATTACGAGATGCTACGACACCTATTGTCTCCAAGTGCTGAAAACAATCTGTTGGTTTCTCTCTGCAGAAGGATCCATCGGAACAAGCTTGCAGGAGGTATACCGGCATCGTTGGGTCGTCTGACGAAGCTTCTCAGGTTGGAGCTTCAGGAGAACATGCTGACCGGCACGGTGCCGCCGGAGGTCCTCTCTCTTGTTCTTGTCGGAGAATTGACTAAGCTGTGAGTAGTAGGAGTACATACAGTTGGTTTCACACCACAATTTGCATCTGTTTTCCTCCTTCCTTTCCCAGTGACTGTTGACGCGATATCTTTTATCTTCACACAGTAATGTTGCGGAAAACAATCTCACCGGCACTGTCAGATCATCTAAACAAAGAGGTGGGATGCATATTATTCATGTGACATGTATAGCTAGAGGTTTGGTGCTTTGTGCTCACACGAATTTCAAATTGGCATCACTTGCAGTGACTACGGTCATCCAAGACACGTTCAACTGAAGACTAGAAGCTGAGCAGCATGGCAAACTGAACTTTCGTAAGAATAAATTGAATGGTTTTCCGTTCTGAAACTGCCGACAGTAGCTGCATGCAGCCTGGGCTTTTGTAGACCTCTGTTCCGTTAAGAGTCAGGGCTTACCTCTCCTTCAAGAAACAATAGAAGAAATACATAGTTGAGTCCATTGTTATTAGCAGGAAATTCAAAATAATGATTCATCCTTGTGGTTTATCTTAAGTCACATCCATACTTCTACATCCGTTTGAGCGGCAACTAATTCCGGACGGAGGGAGTAGCACATGGTGCTTCAGGAATCTTGAAGCTCTGATGCTCAGCAAAGATCTTCAGTGTGCACGACAGTCGCCAAGGATGATGAGTGAAACACTCACCCGTTTCACTCGCCTGAGCAACCATACATGAAGAAGAGTACATAGCACACAGATTTATCTCAAATATAATGACACATAGACATAGCTGTGTCTACCAAATAGCACGTCCAAATGTACTGATAGCATCACAACTTTGGTTCAGAGAAATAAAGGATAGCTGCTGCTGCAGCAAACAATGACCCACAAACTTAACAGACTAGTTCAAGACTCACATCAATGACACAAACAATAGCTTATAGCTATGATTTATTCTTAAATAATAAAGATGGTGCTAAATAGGGCAGTCTTCCGATAGAAATCAGAAATGCAGCCTTCCTCCATATCACGCCGACAAGACTTCATGCTTCATCACACAGTAACGGTGATCACCCCTGTTCTCAAGTCTTACTCTTCATCCCCCTAAAGTAACAACATCGGATCAAACATTAGCAAAGGGAACACAATTAAAGGCCTTCCTTTGTATATAAGAGCACAAGAGTAGCTGGCACGATTCGGTACAAACCTTAAGTTCTTTTCCTCGATGAGCTTGTGGATGCCTCGGCCTCCTGCCGCGGCGTGTTCCGGTTCGGGGCCAGCACAGGCTCCTCCCGGACCGGATTCACTGGAGTTTCAATTGATTGCTATTCAAAGTCTTCATCATACTCCTCGTCAGACACGTCCTCGTAAGCGTTCACCTCAACCTGGTAGCGAAGAATGCCTCCTATCCCACCAAAGCCCCTGCAGAACTGAGATCCTTCCTGCGACTTGTTCGTGATGAACTCCAATGTGCAACCAAACTGCCGATAGTTTTCGGCAAACCACTCCAGTAGCGAGGTATTCTCAACCACCTCCAGGTCTGCAGATGTTGCCTTATCTTTGAAGTTGCTCTGATCTGCCTCCTGTGCCTTGTTGAAGTGCTTCATAGAAGTTTCTCCAGTGGCAGAATTCTTCAGGACGTACCGGTTGATGTCAAGATTTTCCCACACAATCAGTGTCTCAACGGCACCCATTTCAAGGGCAGCCATGGTGTCATCCACACCAAAAACATACTTTCCAGTGTCTTGACTTATCTCCTCAAAGTACTTCCCAATCAGCTTCTTTTCTTGGATGAACTTGACATTGGAAAGGACTTCAGCAGATATCTCAATGGCCTGGTTGAAGCCATTCTCTCCGCCATAAGAAACATCAACCACCTTGAGTATCTTGGTTGCCAAGCGCTGATCAAACATGTCAGACTGACTCAGTTCAGTCTTGAAGTCAGCAGAACCAGCTAGAATGAGCCCAGAAACATTTGGCTGACTGGTGGCAGGGTTGATGAAGAATTGTGTAGCAAGCTCAGCTGTTTTGCGCACATAGTTGTGGCGTTTCTCCATGCGCAGACGGGCAAAGCGAAGTGCTGACTGGCCTCCTCGTCCATGCTTCTTTGGGAGATCAACAGAGAACTTGTGAAGAACCTCTCTAGTGTTGCCACTCAGTGTTCCAAAAAGTGTTCCGTTACCATCCATGACAATGAAGCCAAACTTATCATCAGACTCAAGCAGCTCATTCAATGCCTCAGTGTGGAACTTGTTGTCACAGAGATACAGGGAAGCATTAATTGGCCTGAATGGCTCAAAGTCAAAGGTGACTTTCTTCTCTTTGCCCTCATCAGTCACGATGGTTCCAGTATAAAGTACTAATCCATTGGGTGGAACTCGATTGTACAGCTTCAACCTTTGCTGAGCAGAGGTAATAGCAGCCAAGACAGACTGCCTGTTGACCCTGCTCTTGATGTTTGAGGCAGTTCCATATTCATCACCCAACATCTTGGTTACTCTTGAGACCTGATCACGAGGTGGCATGATCAGCGATATCATGCTTGTCCCATTTCCACGGGCAGCATCAAGCCCTTTAATCAGCTTCTTAACTTTCCAGATCTCAATGTTCTTGTCGTTATCATGACCGTCCGCCATCTTGGTTGTGTTCCCACCTCTGCCTTCACCTACAAGATAGAACATCCAGAGTAAGTATAAAAAATGCTAATAGTAGCTGTCGAGAAAGCTGAATAACATATTATTGAAGGAACAGAAGTAGGAATACATCAAAGCATCATATAAATGAGAAATGTAACTTTCGTTCTTGCAGTCATGAAAGTAAATAACACAAACAAATGCTGAACAGGTTAATGGACATACAATGGCAGATAGGAATTGCTGCAAGTATTTATAATGGTGTACACATGCATAATCAAAGAGAATCATGGCAAAATTGATTAATTAAAGAATAAAAAATCTTCAGGCCAAACAAAGACAACGGTTCCAATGGCACTAAATAGGGAATCTTCTTCAATAGGACATGGCACAGATATATCAGTGGTGAGGATGTATACAAAAAAATAGACAGAGCCTGGCATATTTTAGGACAAACAACCACAAACTGAAATAAGCATGTAAAAGACAGCAAGTACACTTGGATTTACGGTTATACGCATGTACGCACAAAACAACAAATGCAGAACCAGTTAAACCATGTACCATAGTTGAGGATCCTAGGGACCCAGCAATCAAGTGCAAAACAAAACTATCTAAATATACACGTTGAGATGACTGATACTACCAGCTGCATAATAATGCAAAAAGGTCTTTCAAACAATCGAACAGTAAATCCATCATCTTCCATGTTCCCATTGAAAAATTAAATAATCTATTTACTCCCTGTGAAATCAACCTCGACCAAAGCGAAGCATTCATCCATCTATTCTACCAACAACATGAAACAGGGGAGCGGGCACCCGAGGCTTTGTGGACAGAACGGATGCCTGCTCAACCAGTTAAAACAGTGGAACAGAGTTGATGGCCCTATCACCCTACAGACCCAGCACTCAAATGCATAACCAACAGTAGTATATAACAACAAAATGCACACGACGTTCAGAGTGGGTGATACCACCAGCCGCACAACGAGCACGCCCAAAGCTGAAAATTCAAACATGAGTCGGAAAAAAAAACTCACAAACAGTCGCACAGCCAAATCCGTCATCTTCGACGCCTCTGAATCTCTACCCGACAAATTTCCGCGGGCAAATCGCAGCCAATCCAATCGTCGCCACTAAATCGACCTCGACCAGAGCAACGCGCCCATCTATACCAAAAATCCTCCCCGACACCAATTCCCCAAACAAAAAAACAAAAACAGAAAAACAGGGGAGGGCGCCGCGGGGTCAGATCGAGCACTCCCGAGGCCAACAAACGGCGCGACGATGGCACGCACGGACGGGCATAATCGAGCCGGCACGGGCCAGGAAACTCGCCGGCGGCGGCTCGCGAACGAATAAATAGGTACGTGCATACGGTTGATCGAGAGAGGGAGGCGGGCGTGGTTCGTTACCTCGGTCGGCGGCCGGCGGCAGGAGGGGGAGGGGGGCGGCGCTAGGGTTTGGCTCGAAGAATCTGGGTGCGGCGGTGGAGGAGGAAAAATCGGGGGGCAGGCGGCTTTTATGCGTGGGGGGTCGTGTGGAGTCCAGGGAAGAACCCAACCTCGGATCGGCTGCCTGGCCCCGGACGGACTCCGCGGCCCGGGCCCGCCCGCTCGGGGCGCGGGGGCCGCGCGATCGGGATCGGACGGCGGGGCGCGCAGAGGGGCCGGGTCTGGGCGCTTCTGGAGGAATATTGGTTGATTTTGGGTTGACGCGTGCGTCCCACGCGCCGTGCTTTTGCTTTTGCTTTTGCTTGACCCGCGAGGAAACGACGCTTCTCTTTTGTTTTGTTTTCTCTCGGACTGGATGGAAACGGGAACAAATTCTCTTCTCCTGGCGCCGTGCTTGCCAAGTTGATTTTCCACCGCTCCTACTTGGTATGATTGCAAAAAGGGAAAAAGTTTCTTTTTTTCGGATAACGGCAAATGTTTTTTTTCTTCGGAGAAACCTCCCAACTATTCATGATCCGGAAAACAATACAAAGGACACCAAAAGTAACAAAAAAGTACAGCTAGGTTCATGGACTAGCTAGCAGCGACGACGACGACTACAGCCCCTAGAGCACGACAACGGCGCACGGTCATCATCATCATCGCCCCTGTCTAGCCAAAACCGGGTAAACCCTGCCGTAGTAGACAGTTGGGGAGTCATCATGGTAAGACCCCACGTGACTGGCGCACCGGAGCAACAACCGTCACCGATGAGGTGAATCGTAGAACGAAAGGTTCAAAGTTGTGGACAAACGACCAAAGCCGAAGTAAGACTAGATCCGTCGAATACCAGAACAGGCCGAAACCCGCGAGATTCAACGGAGGCACACGCCCACCAGCGACGCTAGATGCACCATCGAGACGGGGATCGGATGTGGGTGACATTACTCCTGTTAGGGGACATCGCTGCCGCCACACAACCCAAGTCGAGACACTGAACCAACCAAGAACGAGATGGTATACCTCCCGCCGACGAGGGGCCGAGGGTCCTTCGCACCTTCATGGCCCAAAGGCCATCAGAGGCGGGGAGGACCGATGGCGGCGTCGACGGGGGGAGGGAAACCCTAGGCGCCTGGTAGTCGCTTCTTGGAAAGAGGTAAACGTTGTTTGGATGGTCGTCTATTCACACACAGAAGCCACGTGGACCGACGGTGGCGTCGATGGGAGGAGGGGAAGCCCTAGTCGCTTGGTAGTCGCTTCTTGGGAGGAGGTAAACGTGAAGGAAATATGCCCTAGAGGCAATAATAAAGTTATTATTTATTTCCTTATATCATGATAAATGTTTATTATTCATGCTAGAATTGTATTAACCGGAAACATAATACATGTGTGAATACATAGACAAACAGAGTGTCACTAGTATGCCTCTACTTGACTAGCTCGTTAATCAAAGATGGTTATGTTTCCTAACCATGGACAAAGAGTTGTTATTTGATTAACGGGATAACATCATTAGTTGAATGATCTGATTGACATGACCCATTCCATTAGCTTAGCACCCGATCGTTTAGTATGTTGCTATTGCTTTCTTCATGACTTATACATGTTCCTATGACTATGAGATTATGCAACTCCCGTTTGCCGGAGGAACACTTTGTGTGCTACCAAACGTCACAACGTAACTGGGTGATTATAAAGGAGCTCTATAGGTGTCTCCAAAGGTACATGTTGGGTTGGCGTATTTCAAGATTAGGATTTGCCACTCCGATTGTCGGAGAGGTATCTCTGGGCCCTCTCGGTAATGCACATCACTTAAGGCTTGCAAGCATTGCAACTAATGAGTTAGTTGCGGGATGATGTATTACAGAACGAGTAAAGAGACTTGCCGGTAACGAGATTGAACTAGGTATTGGATACCGACGATCGAATCTCGGGCAAGTAACATACCGATGACAAAGGGAACAACGTATGTTGTTATGCGGTCTGACCGATAAAGATCTTCGTAGAATATGTAGAAGCCAATATGGGCATCCAGGTCCCGCTATTGGTTATTGACCAGAGACGTGTCTCGGTCATGTCTACATTGTTCTCGAACCCGTAGGGTCCGCACGCTTAAGGTTTCGATGACAGTTATATTATGAGTTTATGAGTTTTGATGTACCGAAGGAGTTCGGAGTCCCGGATGAGATCGGGGACATGACGAGGAGTCTCGAAATGGTCGAGACGTAAAGATCGATATATTGGACGACTATATTCGGACATCGGAAAGGTTCCGAGTGATTCGGGTATTTTTCGGAGTACCGGGTAGTTACGGGAGAAGCAATGGGCCTTGATGGGCTTTAGTGGGAAGAGGAGAAAGGGCCAAGGGGCTGCTGCGCCCCCCTCCCCTCTGGTCCGAATTGGACTAGGGAAAAGGGGGCCGGCCACCTCTCCTTCTCCTCCACTTCCTTCTCCCTTCCTCCCCTCTTGGTGGACTCCTACTAGGACTTGGAGTCCTAGTAGGACTCCACATCCTGGCCGCACCAATTGCTTTGGCCAGCCTCCTCCTCCTCCATCCTTTATATACTGAGGTAAGGGGCACCCCATAGACACAAGTAGATCTTCGTGATCGTTCCTTAGCCGTGTGCGGTGCCCCCCTCCATCATATTCCACCTCGGTCATATTGTAGCGGTGCTTAGGCGAAGCCCTGCGACAGTACTACATCAAGATTGTCACCACGCCATCGCGCTGACGGAACTCTTCCCCGACACTTTGCTGGATCGGAGTCCGGGGATCGTCATCGAGCTGAACGTGTGCTAGAACTCAGAGGTGCCGTAGTTTCGGTGCTTGATCGGTCGAGCCGTGGAGACGTACGACTACATCAACCAAACTCTTTCGTTGTCGATCTACAAGGGTACATAGATCACACTCTCCCCTCTCGTCGCTATGCATCACCATGATCTTGCCTGTGCGTAGGAAAATTTTGAAATTACTACGTTCCCCAACAGTGGCATCAGAGCCTAGGTTTTATGTGTTGATCTTATATGCACGAGTAGAACACAAGTGAGTTGTGGGCGATATAAGTCATACTGCTTACCAGCATGTCATACTTTGGTTCGGCGGTATTGTTGGACGAAGCGGCCCGAACTGACATTACGCGTACGCTTACGCGAGACCGGTTCTCCCAACGTGCTTTGCACAAAGGTGGCTAGCGGGTGACAGTTTCTCCAACTTTAGTTGAACCGAGTGTGGCTACGCCCGGTCCTTGCGAAGGTTAAAACAGCACCAACTTGACAAACTATCGTTGTGGTTTTGATGCTTAGGTAAGATTGGTTCTTGCTTAAGCCCATAGCAGCCACGTAAAACTTGCAACAACAAAGTAGAGGACGTCTAACTTGTTTTTGCAGGGCATGTTGTGATGTGATATGGTCAAAACGTGATGAGATATAAGTTGTTGTATGAGATGATCATGTTTTGTTAAAGTTATCGGTAACTGGCAAAAGCCTTATGGTTGTCTCTTTATTGCATAAGATGCAAGCGCCAAATAATTGCTTTACTTTATCGCTATGCGATAGCAATAGTTGCAAGAGCAATAGTTGGCGAGACGACCGTGTGACGACACATTGGTATAGAT